TTTAATATTGAAAGTAGAAAAATGAGAAAACGGCTCCTTTTTCGTTTTTTTTGTTTTTTTCCAAAAAACGAAAAACGAGAATTCAGCTTAAATGTTCGTCTTTCGTTCATGGGTGGAAAAATGAATAAACAGCTTGAATATTCGATTTCTACATGTGGGCGGGAATTAAACGCCCCTTTCTGCCCTCAGCCGAAGATCAAACCGTGCCATCATCAGTTCTTCCGCAGTATCACGCAGCAGAATAATAGTCCTCCACTGCTGCAGTTGTACGGATTAATAACCCATTTTATCAATTTCATATTTTTCAAACAGACTAATGAATAGCTCGACACAACTCGTACCGGGGCAGAGTCTAGACAGGGCTTTCTTCTGTGTAGATATAAATTATATTCTTTGCATCAGCTGGGCATACAACTTTCATTGTCGTGATCACGAGAAAATGTGATAAGGAGACAACAACTTTCGTTATGTCGAGATCACGAGAAAATATTATGTCGTGATAACGAGAAAACAACTTTCGTTATGTTGTGATCACGAGAAAATGACTTATGTTAAGATCACGAGATAATTAGGTTGTGATCACGACAAAACAAGAAAAAAAACTAATAATCCATGGCCTCTTAGGACTTCCATAGTTTTGACTCTAAACTTTTGATTAAATAAATTAAGAATAATAATGTTTTCAAACTTTCCAAACACAACGCAAATAAGAGATTCATTGCGCAGCCCTATGCTCCAGAGAATCAAGTGCACAGCCACCTTTAGAATTTTGTCTTTGAACTTCAGTTTTTGCAGTGGCGGTATAGCATCACTGTTGAAGAGTCATTAGCTGGTGAAGTGGATTTTCTTATCGTAGAGTTAATTAAATCACGTGCATTGCAATGTTTGAAGCAGATGTCATAAATGTCAGTAGACCAGGAAGTTTTTAAAACGAGTAGTTCATTCATAAATTCATACAACCTTATCTTCACGCTGTGTAAATACAAACAGAAGACAGAAGACAACGAACGCAGCGCTGAAAAAGGGCGGAGCTACATGAGGTCTACTGATCAGTCAATAAGTCTGCCCTGCGGGTGAAGTGATATCAGCTTCATCGATTATAAAGGGGGCACTCTGTGCTCGCTTTCCTTATATAACCCATTCATAAATTGAATAAAACTTTTATTTTTCATGCTGCCAAGTACGCAATGCAAAGTTTCAGGAGTGACGACCACATGAAAATGTGGGACTGAATCTGAATTTGCCATGTTTGACATTGAACATTAACATTAGACCCGCCACTTGTTCCTGTAATATGTTTCTTTGCTTTTTTATTATTTTCATTTCATCTTTTAATGCAATGTTTACATTAATAGGCCAATCTTACCATTCTTAGTAGGATAGGCTCCTACATACGTCTGTAAGCAGTATCGCTAACTTCTGCCACATCTGACCCCCTCTAGTCTACAAAACCCCCCAGTCATCAAAAACAGTCAGCAAACCCAGAAGCCCAGAACATCCGACAGGAAGAGAGCGACAGGTCCTCTTATGTCCTGAAATCAGATTCTTCGGGGCTGCCACAGAGACGGTGTGCTTTCTCAACACACATTCACATATGTCAGGTAGAGGTGACATTTCCTGCACACTATTTCATGAAAAACAGCTTACAGGATCTTTTAAGTGTCATACACACATCAGAGCTTTACCTTTGTTTTCCGATTCACAGGGCTGCTGAGGCAACAGTACACAGGTCAGGACCTTGTCTCCAGACTCGGGGTCCACATCCGTCTGGAAGGTGAGCAGTGGTTGAGACTGGTTCTCTGACAGCCAGAGAGCTTTGAGTCGTAGAGAGGTCAGGGTCAAGGGCAGGTAGAGCAGCCTTCACAGAGATACGGACAGAATATCATTCACAAGAAGCGCTTCTGCCTCGCTTTAATGCTGCTACTGCAAACTCTCAAAGCGGGACAATTGGTATGTTCTCCTACTAGTCCTAATGTGGCGGGCATGCATGTGTTTTTACAGGCTTTATTACTCAGTAATGTTTAATAAATGAAATGCCCTTTTTTAAACTAATCTGACAAAGTGAAAAAGCATATTCAACAAGACGATTTTATCCATCAGAAATGGACTTGATTGTAGAAAAGGGGCGTTACATGCCATAATAGAGCCTGGTGGTTCAAAGATAAGTGTGATTTGTGAAGTTGTTCAACAAATGAACATGACACAGGAGAAAGTTTCCACCAGTGTTAGGGGGAATACATTACAAGTAATTTGAGTTATGTAATCAGATTACTTTTTTCAAGTAACTAGTAAAGTACCATTATTTAAAACAAAATCTGAGTTACATTTTCAAATAAGTAATGCAAGTTACTTTGTTTTCCCATTTATTCGCTGGGAGTGAGTTGCAGAGGCACTTCCTTCAGCCTGAGGCTTATTCATTTCACTTTTGGTGTGAAAGGATTGTAGAAAATATAACTTTTGGGTTTTTGTTATCAAAAAACAAATAAGCAAGCCCAGCCCAAGGGACAAAAAGTAATGCAAAAGTAACATAACACATTACTCTCCATAAAAAGTAATGCAATTAGTTATTTTTTATAGAGTAATGCAATATTGTAAAAGTAACTTTCGCCAACACTGGTTACCACAATATGATTAGAGATTATCAAGGCATTTTTTTCTTTTGAAATAACATTATGAATCATGCATAAATGAATTATGCACAATAAGATTGTTATTAGTTATCAATTTTAGCTATATGGATCACCACTGAAGATTATTTTCATTGTTGTCTGTAAAAACAAGAAAAAAAAATGAAACAATGGTACAATACAGTGGTTTTATTCTGTAAATCATGTTTACAGTAATGGACTTACAGTGGAAGTCTATGGAGCAAGTGCACTAGAGGATTTAAAAGCAGAAATGTGCAGCTTGTATTTTTGTTACCAAATTTATATGAATACTTCTGTTCAGCAGCATAATATTTGAGTTGTAAAGTTCTCTCCATGTGGATTCATTTCTGTATGCATTACTGACTGTGGATTTGTTTGTAGTTTAACGCCATGCCAGCTAACACGGCTATATTCATGGCGAGAAAAGGGGAAAATAAATAAATATATAAATAATGATAGACAGACTTTTATAAGAGGTTTTTAAAATGTATCTTTGATAAAAATTCTAAAACTAAAACTGGTGTCACTTTATTAAAAATATTTTCATAAGAGTCAACTGAAATTTAAAGAGTCCTAATGGAGTTCAAGACATCACACTGCACCAAAATATGCTTTAGTGATAAAAGACTCTGGCAAGAGGGGCTTAAAGGAGGCTCTTCACCCATTAACAAAAATGCACAGGTTAGTCTGGAGTGGCCTATTCAACAGCGTGTGTAGATAATATGGTCCCAGTGATTAAAATGTACACCCATTAATGAAAACTGTGTCATCATTTACTCACCATCATGTCAATTCATAAGACTTTCATTCATCTTTGAAACACATATGATATTTTTTAATGAAATGAGAGAGAGAGTCCACCATAATCCGTGTATCATTCGATCATTCGTTTTTTGATTTAATATTGAAAGTAGAAAAATTTGAAAACGGTTTTCGTTTTTTTGTTTTTTTCCAAAAAACGAAAAACGAGAATTCAGCTTAAATTTACGTTTTTCGTTCATGGGTAGAAAAATGAATAAACAGCTTAAATATTTGATTTCTACACGTGGGCGGGAATTAGACGCCCCTTTCTGCTGATTGGTCAGCCGAAGATCAAACCGTGCCATCATCAGTTCTTCTGCAGTATCACGCAGCAAAATAATAGTCCTCCATTGCTGCAGTTGTACGGATTAATAACCCATTTTATCAATTTCATATTTTTCTCATCAAACAGACTAATGAATGGCTCGACACAACTCGTACCGGGGCAGAGTCTAGACAGGTATTTCGTCTGTGTAGACCAGCGGTTCTTAAAGTGATAGGGGTTCCGTGAAATAATTTGCTATAGCCGAAAGTATTTCCAGACTGTAAAGTCGCTTTTTTTTTTTTATCATGATACATAGGCCTACTGTGATTTATTCCAAAGTGACTTATATGATGCATTTAATGTAAAATAATCTAAATGAAGCCTCTTAAAAGACAAGTATTCCCTGTTGATACTGCGGAACAACTGATGATGGCACGGTTTGATCTTCGGCTGACCAATCAGCAGAAAGGGGTGTTTAATTCCCGCCCACGTGTAGAAATCGAATATTCAAGCTGTTTATTCATTTTTGTACCCTTGAACGAAAAACGAAAATTTAAACTGAATTCTCGTTTTTTGGAAAAAAACGAAAAAACGAAAAAGGAGACGAATGATCGAATGATACACGGATTAAAAACGCCATAAAATAGATTTGAAAGTTGTGAGTTGTAAAAAATTACATGATTTAGGACCTTTATACAGTGCGTGCCATCCCTCACAGCCTCATTCATTCAATAGAACAAAAGTCTTATGGGTTTGGAACTACACGAGTAATTGATAGAATTTTTCATTTTTGGATTACTATCTCTTTAAGAAACATATTTTATGTGGAGAAAGGAAAATGGGAAAAAAACTGCTTACAAGTACTTATTAATTTATTTACACATTTTAAAATACACAAATACAGTGGCAATACAAATGAGGGAAAAAAAATCTTCCAGGGAAAGAAGATCCATAATTCCACCTGATACAGCACAGTGTGATGCAGAAGGACTGGCCAAGCAGTCGTGTGTAGAATGAACCAGAAAATGAAAGAGAAATCCATAATAGCTCGATCCCCGACAAAGTGTACTTGTGCCTACATTTAAACACCACCAGTACGGGAGCGGCTGTTTCTGTGAGACCACCAGTGGAGAGAAAGAATTACTAACTTATCAAATCTAGAACAGAACAAAGTTCCTCGCACCTCTCTAAGCACTAGCCTTTTCCCCAAACTCATAATACACACACAGACAGTGGCTATGAAAAAATGGTACTTTGCCATCACTAGAAACATCCTATATACATGACAACAGAATTTAAGAGTTTCACCACTATCCCCCCCCCATGACTACAGAAAAAGCCTATGCTCTACTCTGCTGAATGATACAGACAGGCAGCTCGCCTTCCACGTCCTGTGACTTATAGCACCAGTAAGTCAAGGAACCACACTTCTGAAACAAGGGAAGAGTAGTACTAAAAGCATTGGTAATACTCAGTAAATAAAGTTGAAGAAAAACAAAAACTTGCATCGCAATTGTTAAAAGTGTCAGTCAAAAGAAAACAAAAACAAATCAGGCATGGCTTAAATGATGGCTGGTGTATTCTCAATGAGACAAGCTGGGCTCAGGACATCCATTTCCAAATCCAAACACAAAATGTTAAAAGAAAATGTGCCCGTTTGTCTCAACAAATGCCCCAAGTTTTTCATGTTTATACCCTCAGGTCAGAAAAATTAAGCTCTTTTTCTCATTATTGGACTTCTTAAACGGCTATAAATGTCTTTCAGTGACATTGTCCAACAGTCTTGACCCAACCATGTGTGCCTGCATTACTGTAAAAGCACTAAGCTTAGTTCAGGGGGTAAAAAGAAACAAAGAGCAACATTAATAACATCAACAACTGTACAATACAGGCATTTCACAGCTTTCGAGAAACAAAAAAAAAAAGCTTGAGGGAATGCAATAAAATCAATGAGCAATTGTTGATAATCGAGTTGATAAAGAGGCCAGGTTGATGGGTGCAACAAACTAAAAATAATCTAAAAAGGTGTGAAGGTGGTATTGTGGGTATGACTACTCGAACCTTTGCTGTATGTTTCTCTGTCTGGCCTTCGACATAATAAACTACAAAATGACATAAAAAGGACACTGCCTTCATCCTGCCACATGAACAAACAGGCTTTCAAACGTTCAATTTAATTCTGCACATTTCATTAAGCTTAATGCTGTTAAACTAGCAAAAAGAGAAAAAGATTCACCTGCAAAAAACTGTAACCAGTGTGAAATCAATTTAATCTCTGTTGTACATAAACAAAAAGACAAAAATAAAAGATTACGGTAAGCAAAATGTCAATGGCTATCAGTACAGCTGCATTCCAAGCTGTGTAAAAGTAATTTTTTTGCAACAGGAGAGGGTGAATTGCGCAATCAGAGCTGTTGTACATGGCTTTAGCCAAGAAGCTCTGCTTTGCGAAGAGGCCCCTGGATGGCAGGCGGATGGCCCTCTCCTTCTGGTGTGTGTCAGAGGGCTGAAAGCAGTGATGGCCAAGAATCACGCCCCGCCCCACCCCCCTGTCCCTCCCATCTCGCCAGCGATTGTCTGGCAAAAAGTAATGTTAACAAGCCCAACTGATGTGCCCAGGTGTCTTGGAGTAGTGTAGGTAAGGAAATGTTTGTGTGTGTGTGTGGAGTGTGTGTGAAAAGAAGAAAACCAAAATCTGTCCATCTCTCGAATTTGCGTGACTCTCAAGTGTGTTTAAATGCATTGAGAGGAAGGTGGAAATTAAGTCTCTTGTTTCGATTTGATTTGCTGAGGTTGATTTCACATGGTTAGAGGCTGCTGGAGAAGTCCTAGTGCAGATCAGGGCCATGGTTGGTCTGCTCTTGAGGTGTGTGGAGGGTCTCATCGAGGTACGGCAGACTGCAGGCCACTTGGGGTGACGCGAGAAAGAGCCTGGAGTGGGGAGGAGAAACAGACACATCAGTTTCTGAATGCCACATGGTATAAATGCAAACTGTTCCTGAGAGAATCTCAGTAGCTTTCTGAGTTTTTTTTAAAAGGCAATTCACACTGCACTGATAGACATAGACCAATGGTGACAGCTGACCAGTACGTCACTTATCAGACATTCCAAGACCCGACAAACGCCGTATTAACATGTTCCATTGGCAGAAACAAGCACTGACCAATGCCAAAAGACACCGACAGGAGTAACACATGATCAGACAAAACCCAATGAATGGGTCTGTTACTGTTTGTCGACGTCTGTCGGTGCAGAGTGTGAATTGGCCTGAACAGTGCAATTTTAGTTTGGCTACGTTCAAGCAGTCAGTATTTTGGAGTGATAACTGTTAGGTGTGACTCTTCAAAAAGATTAGATGATGGATTAGATGGACGTCACCAAATGACTTCACTAACTCTTGCATAATGCCTGTACCCACAGCAACAAATAATGATAATAAATAAACACGTATTGAATTTGAATCACGCTACTCTTGAAAGGTTTGGGGTGGGTAAGACTTTTAAAAAATATTTATAAAGTCTCAATGCAGCAATTATAAAAAAAAAATACAATAATATAAACATAATAAAAAATAAAAAATACAGTAAAAACAATATTACAGTTAAATATTTAGTTATATTGTTTTTTTTTCTAACTAACTAATGAGCTATGAAAATTTTATGGCTTCCTGAGGTAAATGTGAGATTGTGACTTTTTTTTTTACATAAATACATTAATAAAAGCTGTTCTATTGATGTCTTTTAACAGTCGAAACTTTGAGCAATTAAAATTAAACATCATTCAGTCAATGATTTCGGCCCTCCAAAAGACCAAAACAGAAAATTCACTTTTGGCTGAAACTTTTTGGTGCATCACTAGTTCTTACAAGGCGGTAACTGTTTGTGCCTGCATGGTTTGAGTCCTAAATATTTTAGGTGGTCCTAGGGCCGTCCTCTGAGCTCCCCCATGGCCTGTCACAGCAGAGGGCAAATAGCAGGAGAGGGGGGAACAAGGTTTATAACACCAAACACAAAGTGGGTAAAAAAACAATGAATACTGTATATTTTGTTTCCACACAGGAACACAAATGGCGGGTTATCTCAAGATCGGAGGAGGGGCGACAGCTAATTGTGTTTTGCACCTTCAGATGCACAATAAAATCTGAGGTGATTAATTACTAGGTGGGGATACATTTTTCATGATCCTCCGTCAAAGGCAGGGCAGTGCAGGGGGCCCACGAGGACTCTAGGGCCAATCATGTGACGGCTGCTCGAAAGGGCGGGGGTGAATTCATCTGACGTTACAGAGGGAACAAAAGAGCTGCAGAGGTGAGTCGTTCAGCCAAACTGAGACTACCAGTAAACACATTTCATTCAGGGCACAAACAATAATGAAGGAGTTTTCTGTAAACTGAGGTCATAAGCAGCAGTTTTACACTCAAACAACTGAAAGCAAAAATGCTTGTAAGTGTAAAGCTGCACTGATTAAGAGGGCGCAGGAGCAGTCTGGGTGGTCACACTGCATGCCAGAGAGAGCCAAAACCAAGCACTGGGGGTTAAAAGAGTGAAACAGAAAGAGGCATCCCAGGCAACTAGAGGTTATGGATACATCACAGTAAGAGTGTAGAAGCACACGCTCACAAGCAGAGGGCGCTGCACAGCACACAATCAAGAACGCTCTGCTGCAAGGCATTTGTGCTTCAGCAACTGATTTTGAATTAGCTCTCCAACACTAGATTAAACTTTTGTCAACTATTAGGTTCTCTAAATACATCTATGAGTACATGGTGATCGTGAGCAGGCTGCTATATGACGTTTGTGACAGATGGTCTGGTGGGCATATGTGCATATGTGAACATACTACTTTTGTTTTTTGTTTTTTTGCACTAAATGAAAGCAGAGTGCCTTATGTTTACAACATCATAACTCTTGATCTGATCAAATCTGAGCACTAGGATATAGAGATACGTCGGCCAGAAAATTCACATGACTAAAAGGAATGATAATGCATCCTCAAACCCATGAAGGGTTGAAATGATGCTTTAAACTGGTTTGATAGCAGGGAAATATTTCTGGAGACTGATGCTTTAGCACATTTCTTTAGTAAAAAATAAGCAAAAGCCCAACAGTCTAGATTCAGCAACCCTCTACACCCACCTTGGCAATATAATCGCCATTGGCTAGTACATTTTTTTGTTTACTCGCCAGACTGATATACCATTTTACACACACACACACACACGATTCCACCAAATCAGCTTATCTTTGTAAAATGGCACAGCTTCTTAAATAACTGAATGTACACACTTAACTTCAGTCAATCAAACATTATATTATGATATTATGATAATTAAGCACTATTTAATGATAGAACTTTAGTGATTAAAACTAAAACTTGGTAACCATGTATGCATGAATATTTGTAATTTTAACTGAACATAGGACTGGTGGTGATGCTTAAGATATTGTTGGTCATAGATAATAGTAATTCATTATTATTATTAAAAAATAATAATACTGCTACTACTATTATTATCTGCTGGGTTCATAAATATTATTAATGGTTATCAGCGTTCGCTCGAATGGATTTGCTGAAATCAAAACAGGGCCAGCCAATGAAATTGCCGTTTGCGCATTAGTTCCACCCACTACCCGAGAAGCTGGCATATCTTCAGCTTGTTCTTAAAAGCTGAATAATTCTAAATGAACTCTAAAGGAAAATATAACAAAGCAAACCGTTTACACGTAGCGCGCCGATTCAGCGTGGTGTATAAGAGTCTCGCTGTCTCTCTTTGCATATGTGCATGTGCGAGTGAAAATATATCTGTGCTAAACTTATAATTAGCCTCCATCTCACACACTGGCGAGTAAAATCTAAGAATTTATTAGCCAATGGCTAACGATAGACATCATTTAGTCGCCCAGAGTAAGATTTAGTCACATATGCGAGTGATTTATGCAATGTAGAGGGTTGTTCAGTTAAAAATGGTTCAGGAGATAACAATACTGTGCATCTGTGAGTAACGCATCACATCATCTGGTGTTATGAATTACTTTCTCTGCAAAGATTAAAAATACCATCTGAGTCATTAGAGTGGGGTGGGAGGTCATAAACTGCTAACCGGGATGAAACCGGAATAAAGTATGCAAGAATCCCAGACTATGAATACTGGTGGTTTCGGTGTACTTCAGTACTAACCTTAGTTCCATAAATATTTTCCCATTCATTTTATCCATAGAAATTCTTCAATTAAGAGCCACAAAAAAAACCAACAACCAGCCAGCTTTGAGATTAATCTGAATGAGGGGTGTAACTACACGTATTCGTACCAAAAATTTTCCGATACGGGTCTTCTGGTTAAGCACACATGTTGTGTACCAAACAAATGCAGTGCTGTTTGACCACTGCACGTGCGGAACTTCTGTGTGCGGAACATAATTTGAAATGGGAGTCCCCCCCCCCAGGATAGGAAAGAACCAGTTATATCAATATATTTTGACACTTTGAACACATCTGAAAAATAACACAGAATCACACAGAGTGAGCTGCTGTGGGAAAAGTGCCTTATCCAAGTTGTCCTAAACATAAAACATGCTTTATATTAATTGCTTCAAACTAGCTGAACAGTGACTTCAAAACCAAGTTGTGTATCGAACTGTCATTTTTGTGTACCTTGACACATCTAGTCTTCAATACAAACTTTGATTTGAAGCATAAAAGTGCTTATGAGTATTTTTTAATCTGACTTAGGTACAATACTGTGTACTTGAAATCTGTTACGAGTGAATGAACTACAATCTCATGAAAGACTACCAATGGATACAATTAAAAATGACGGTACAATATGTGTGGTGTGTGGTGTCAGTGTCGTGCGCTTTGCTTGGCCATTTGTTGGGATAAACAGGAAAGTGTGTCCAGCTGAATTCAATTTGAGTTTTGTTAAACTAATTAAAAAGAAGCTTAGTTTACCGCGGAAGCGGTCGCGGCTGCGGTCGTGTGAAGCTTTGGATAAAAGCGTCTGCTAAATGACTAAAAGTAAAGTAACTAAAAAATATAATACTACCAATTCATTAATTAGGTACAAAAAATTTTTTTTTTAAGTTGAAAGCAAAATATTTAGAAGCCATTCTGATGGATTCTGAATGGAAGTCAATGAAGATGATGCCTCACTTACGCTTTTGTGCAGAAACTAGCTTGTAACGTCAGACACAGACTGCCTGGGTGCTAATTTTCAACAGTTTGCATGACATTCTTTTGGTATTCACAAGAGAATCTCAGAGCTGATGGCAGATTTCTGTTTCTCTATGGAGAAAATGAATGTTTTTTTTTTTACATCTGGAGCCCGACTGTGGCGCTATGTTTGAATAACACCACAAGCCTTTGCTAAACATCTGACTGCTTCATCTGAATTACAGTTGGGAATGAAGTGAAGTCTCTCTTCATTCTGTGTGGTGAGTGATGTGCTGCGTAACAGCCGTACAGCAGTGATGTGGGACAGGGAGCCACCTATTACTTAATAGAGGGCAGTGGAGGTAGTCCAAGTAAAAAAAAATTTTTAAAAACACCCAATTGTCACTCACCCAAAGCTGTCTCTCATACCAGACCATGGCGAGCATCTACTTGCCGTGGTGATCATAGGGAATGCTATTCTGAAATGGGTGGGTGGGCGAGTGGAGTGGGAAACATATTCATTCGTGATAAAAAAAAATCAACAACAATGTGGTAAACACCTCAAAAAATGCAGATCTGAACAGAAGCGTTAACAGCAAATATTCAAATCACCAGAGACTCTTCTAGACAGAATTATGACTCTGGGCAGCATTTCAAGAATGTGTGACATGTTCTGAAAAGAACTCTACACAAATAAGATCCAAAATATGTGGCAGTGGTTACACAATACAGGGCTCAACAATAAGGATGGCCCAATGCTTGCGTTTCAACTATCCTTACATTTATAAATTATGTAATGCTTGCTTTGCAAATGATACATTTTTGAGTTCTGTGATGTTTGAACAATGTCGTTTGCAAATTCAACTAATGTAAATATGTCAGCAATGCAATGTGACTTAGCTGGCTGACAGCGATATAGAGAGTGATTTGTGCTAGTCTTGAAAGAGTCATTTAAATAGGTTTGGAAAACAAATTTTTTTGCACCGCATTCCATAATTTTACAGCAAAAATACTTTAAGTTTTTGTGCTTTTTGTCTGTAAAAATATGTTACATATATAACTGAAAAAATCTCAGAAATAAGTATTAAGCATTTATAAAAAATACATTTATAATAATAATTGTCTGTAATATATAATAAAAAATCCTTATTGTTGAGCCCAACAATATCAATAATAAATAATAACAACAACAATAAAACGGAGTACAAAGGGAATGAAGAAACCTTCCTTACTTCCTTATTCTTCAAATCCTACTAAGTTATTTACCAAAGTAAAACGACCTGAGCTGCATTTCCCAAAAGCATCATAACCATAAGTAGATCGTAGAACCATTGCCACCAATGGTCTCTACGATGCTTTTGAGAGACGCAGCCCAGGTTATTTACTTTTATTGTACGTCTTCTACATCTACTCACATACTGTCCATTTCACCGCTGAACACAAATTTAAAGATAAGCTATAAAGCATGTATAGCCCAAAAACACCTCTCAGAGCAGAGTGCTTTTATAATGGCATTCTAACAGCCCTGTAAACCATGACACCGGCTCCATATCATGCCAGGCCACAGCAGACACAAGCTCCATCTGAGCACTCTTTCATGGCTGTCACTCTCTATTAGGGGTGTGCCATATCATACCGTCCACAATAATACTGTATGGCGCATTTACGTTCCCTAGCGCGCACAACAACAACACCACAAACCCAATAGGCTTGTTTGAGATGAGCAAAATCTGCGCAGAACCGATCACCGGTGATCACCGCGAGATGCATGCCAGTTAGAAAAGTGTCCGAGTTACGTCCGACTTGCTCTGATGTCATGCTGACGTGTGCCAAAAACCTCTAGTGACGGCGAAGCAGCTGTGTCGGATTGCGCAGTCGGGCGCAGTTGCTCTCCACTGACTGCGCTGATCAAAAGCATGATTTTCCTCATATTTATTTTCATATAAAGCAACAGAACTGAAATTATATCATGTTTATCATCAGCACAGCACGTGAGTGAGAATAACGCGATATCCACCTTTGATCTCGTAGGTATCTGTTCCACTTCGAGAGGTCAGAACTGTCCGTCTTGACTGCGCTTATTTCACTCCTCCCCCTCACTGCAGTCGCCTACTCTCGCCTTCATTTCAGGTGAAGCGAGGCACATCTCAAACAAGCCTAATCTGATCGGTGTATGACATCAAAGTATCGCGAGAGCGGTTCTACAGTAGAGCATATTCGAGTGCACACTCTTACCATCAAAAATAGGCGAGGCGCCTTTAGCAAAGCGGAGAGCCGCTTCTGGGACACTTCTGAAACGTGTCGCAGCGCGGCTGGTGTAAACACAAGCAATTGATTAGGGTGGACGTGATCAGCTCTGGTGGCCGCGTCGGAGCCGTAACGCGCCGCAGGAGCGTGCAGTGTAAATAAGGTGTAAGTCACTCTCGCAGTATTTTGACGTCATACACCGATTGGTCTGCTTCAAGCCGAACACACAGCTGCTGCTGCCACCTTATGACAATAGATTTACACTTCGAATTAGGTAGTCTGTCATCGATGACAGTAGCTCATTGGAAAAAGATGGAAAATGCCCTTCATTTTGTTTGCACTAATAAATGCTGCTGCCTACCAGCAGTAATCACCAATAAAACGTTGTTTCATATTTTTTTCTATATCGTCATAAATATCGTTATCGCAAATATTCTTGAAATACCGTGATATAATTTTGAGGCTATATCACCCACCCCTACTCTCTATCATCTTTTCCTTTGTCTCTCTGCTGGAAAGCAATTGTGGAGGAGTTTGTTTATAAAGGTTTTCTAACCAAAGTGATCCCTTTTGTGGACTGGAAATAAAAAAGGGTCATTTAGGATCAGTGGAGCTGGGGCCGAGACTGTCAATGCTGCCAAACACACAGGCACCAGTGGGCAAAAATGCATTTCATCTTATAAAAAAGTATTTCATCTTATAAATTTGGTACCTGTGATGTGGACATGCGTGAGGTGTCCTGTCGGCCAGTTAGATCGGAGGAGGAAATGTTGACAGGGGCTCCACGGTGCAATCTCATACTGACCTTCCTCTCTCGCTCCATTCCTGGCAAAAAAAAAAAAAAGAAAGAAAGGAAGGAAGACACGTGTCATCTAAAGCCTGGAAAATGGAAAAAATTGGACACTGACACCACAAACTGGGTCATGTCCACCTAAACAAAAATCCGTCTGTTTTCCAGCGTCTGAACCACTAAGTAATTACACCAAACTGGAAACACTACATTTAACTTTGAGCTCTACAGAGAATAAACGTTATTTGAATTAAAGAAACTGAAGTTTACTGTGACTCCGGTAGAGGTGACATATGGTGGGTTTATGAGTCTATGTGCTCAACTCCTTGAGTGCTAATTGAGGCCATACTCTTCTAGGCTGCTAACAAGAGCAGTGCAGGGTCACTGTTTAAATGTCTTTCTTGTAGAAATGTGTGTGTGAGAACCTCCACCCTTCGATAAAGCAAACGCTAGTAAATTTAAGTCATGTCTAGCAAACATCCTGCTGAACATAGTAGCTTGCAACCCTTTAACCACTTCCTGTCAGCTAAGACGTCAACAAATGGCAGAAAAAAAAAATAGCTGATGAATACAAATCTGTCTTGATTCGAAGCACTGAAGAGAAAGAAAACCCTTGTGTATCTTGCAAATCAAAATAATCCTTATGTACGGACAAAAAAGATCCTCAGATGTTTGCATCATAAACATGTCTGATTTTACTTGAGTTAAAAACAAGCACCAACAGGCAGCAGTGGATGTATTACCTGTGTGTGAGGTTGGCGTGAGGGGTGTGGGAGGTGCTACTTCTTGTGTTCCTCTGGGTCGACCTGAGCTGGAAGGCATCACACCACGGGCAGCAGGATTCCGTCCATGTCGCAATCTTTCCTCTCGATCCCTCCGCTCTCTCTCCGGATCTTCTGCCGCTCTGTTTGCACCCTGAAAAGCACAACACATTATAAATGAAGAATTAAAAGATTAGTTCCTTTCCAGAATAAAAAATTCCTGATAATTTACTCACCCCCGTCATCCAAGATGTTCATGTCGTTCTGTCTTCAGTCAAAAAGAAATTAAGGTTTTTGAGAAACCCATTGAAGTCCACTATATGGAGAAAATTCCTGGAATGTTTTCCTCAAAAACCTTAATTTCTTTTCGACTGAAGAAAGACATGAACATCTTGGATGACATGGGGGTGAGTAAATTATCAGGAAATTTTTATTCTGGAAGTTAACTAATCCTTTAAGGCTTTAAAAGACCACCATAAAAACCAACAAAAATGTAAGGAATACGGCATGCATGCAAAGACAACTCATATGATACTCACAAATTTAAGCATATTCCAGTCAAACACATAGTCGTATGAAAAGCCTTGTCTGTGGAAAAGGTTCCTGAAGAGCTGTCTCAGGTAAGAATAGTCTGGCTTGTCGTCAAAGCGAAGGGAGCGGCAAAAGTTGAGGTATGTGGCAAACTCAGCTGGAAACGAACAAAAGGCAAATTAAATTAAATTTATGTTTTGTGGCTTTCAGTCAGTTTGGTCACATTTGAAGTCATCAACACAACTGTTCAAAAGTTTAGAGTTGGTAAGATTTTTTTCATGGCTTTAAAATAAGTCTCATATGCTCACTAAGACTGCATTTATTTGATCAAAACAGTAAAAAAAAAAAGTCATATTGAAATATTATTACAATTGAAATAATATTTCAATGTTTTACTATATTTTAAAATTTAATTTATAGCTTTGATGGCAAAGCTGAATGTTCAGCAGGCATTACTCCAGTCTTCACATGATCCTTCAGAAACCACTCTAATATGCTTTCAGGAATCTTTGATGAATAGAACGTAAAAAAAAAAAAAAAAAACATTATAATTGAACTGTCCAATCAAATGCTGTCGTCTTCCACCTGCCTCCAACTAGCAAGTAGCTTATAGTCTGTGGCTGCGATGTAATGTAGTTTAAGCCTATTGGCTACTTAAAAAAACCCTTATATGTATAAACCGAAGCTTACATGGGTATCCTTTACACAGGACTTCAATAGGAGTGGACATTTTCTTCTCGCTGATTCGCTCATACTTCTGTCTCTTTGTGGCAGCCTTCAGACCCTGCCATGGCAGAGAGCCCAGGTTGAAGTACATGAGCACATAGCCAAGAGACTCCAAGTCATCTCGTCTGGATTGCTCTGTGAAAGAAAGCACAGACGATAAACACTATGTCATTAGGATGGCCAGACTATAACAGGTGTAGTGGCTTAATCCTAAATGTTAGGGTGATGACAGGTCAGGTCTGAAAATACAGGAGGTTTCATTATTATATTATTATTATTATTATTATTATTATTATTATTATAAGTCAGGGTACCTA